ATACGTATTGCAGGCAAATCTCCATACTTCACACATCTGGATAATTGCTTTTTTGACTTCCTGTCCTGGGGATTGGGAAGCTTGCTTGTATGCCTGCATTATACTGACTCCGATTTGACGATCCAAGCTGCCCCAGGATGTAAATCTGTACTGGGCTTGGAGCCGCTCAAGACGTGCTCCCTTCAGGCCTGCAAGCACTTTGACAGCCTTCCCTGCTCCTATTTTTATATGGTCATTTGCATGACAGAGTCTTCCTGCTGCATACGGCGCTTGACATATCAGGCCAACATTTCACTATACAAGTCTATCGGCTTACACATCAGCCGGCAGACTGAACAGTACCTATACATGCCGCAGCACTGGAAGAGTCACTGCCCCTTGATACTCAATACACAACTGATGCTTTGCCATTATTTAACAGGCAACCTTACCACTCACATGAAGGTTCGCAGTAACATGTTGTTGGGATTTGAGTTAGGTAGGATTTTTACCGCTTGACTTTCTACCTTCATCTGGTTCAGCTCTAAGCCTGAGAACGCATGGTCTCTGCACTTCTGGCAACAGCCTGCGTCCTGCTCAGAGCCGTTTATTTCTTGCCTTTCGTTCAAGTGCGTTTGACACATAGCGGCTGCCAGGCATACCTCCACAGGCTGCTGTCGCACAACTGAAGGAGAGCTGGGCCCAGCTAGTGACACCTCCGTGCACACACACCAGACACCCACAAGCTGTTGCAGGGGTGATTGCAGAACTGGACGTCGCTAGCTGAAAAAGCCCCTGGCTGCAGCCCATCCGCTGCCCCAACTTGGGAGACTGTTGAATGTAAAGGAGAATCTGAGCAATTCATTTACAAAACTCTGAAGCCTTTTTACCTTGCAAGGGGCTTAAAAATGGTAATAGCATAACTGCTCAGAGCAAATACCAGGGGTTCACTCTTGGCATCAGTGTTTCTACAGGTGACAGACATCTAGGGCTGGCTTGTAGGGATCCAGAAACCTAGAGCTGTGGTGTTTTGGGATCCCAGATCACCTTCACAACTGCAGGAGTGGCAGTGCCAATCAGCAAACGAAGATCTTCTTTACTTCTGCCTTCAAAACGTTTGGACTGTAGATTGCAAGGCAGGAAGGTACCACTGGGAACATCTAACCTGGTTTTCTGCATATCAGAGGCCCCAGCATTTCACCCCATAATTCCTGCATCAAACACCGCTCTTTGCAATTGCCCTAAAGTGCCTCATTTTGGAAAGACTTCTGAGCTTAATTACCTAGTTGAAGGGGTGGTGCTTGCTTAGGTTCCTCTGTCCTTGCCCTACTGACCTGTCACAGGATTGTGGTGGGGATCTGATATTTTAAATGGCTCAGAAGCAGTGGGCTTCATCCTGCCCATTGAATTTTCCCTTCTAAGTCCTTCTCCAAGGTCCTGTGCACGAAGAGGATCTCTCAGATCCAACTACATAAAAGCAGGCAATGCATCCTCTGGCTCAATCCTCATTCGATGTGTTGAACAGAATACTACCACACAATTACAGCAGCTCGTGCAGCCATCCTGCAATGACAACCCTGTGCATTAATGCCAGCGAATGAGGCTTTGTAAGTCCAATAATTCTCTTGCTAACAGATACTTGTATTAGGACAATTAGGTGTGGGTGTTTTTATAGCTCAGCTGCCTGGAGCAGTGTTTTTTCAGTGAGCCCAAGTGACAAGAGTGGCAGAAGAGGATTCTGACACACGGGTTTAGTAACCCCTTCACTTTTTCCAAACGCCAAGTCAGAAGTTGTGCGTGAACACCAGACTGAACCCTTGATCTGCATAGACATCACTGGTTTCTCACATGCCAAGGAGCAATACATCTTGACTTTGCAACTTCCATCCAAGAAACTAGCCAATGCTATACTTGCAGGTGGTG